ATAGCACTGGTGCCTGCCCTGCACCTTTAAAAACTGACCACACATCCCATTAAAGGAATCCCGTAAATGTCAGTCACGGCATAATTAGTGTCTGCAAAGGTACTTCCTGGCAATAATTGATTTCTTAATCCAGATCCCAATCTGCTCCACTGATATTCTTTAATGACTTTCTGAAGCCAGTGATAACAAATTGGATAAGAAAAGACGTTTTTGTCAATCTGGAGGACTCGCAGGAGACACAAAGGCGGAGTTAACGTGATGCTGTTGCCAAGAGTGACTGAGCAAACAGTGTTTGCAATTACAACTCACCTCCCTAACTTCATTTCCAGCAAAACAGCAGCATTTTAATTATGGCAGCCCCAGAGTAAAGCAGAGGGAGGGGGAAATTGCTTTCCATCACTTGTTTGTTCCTTTGTCTTTCACACTTCTCGACAAACTCCATCATATAATTAAACTCTAAAGGCTGTTTGCTGACAACCTGTGGTCAAAGATGATAATCATGCTCAAGTCAGGTGCCCTCCTTCCTACAGTGCCAGGTTCTGCCAGAGTGCTTCCTCTGCACAGATTATTGCACATCCAGATCAGGTCATTGGAAGCAGGGTGTGATGTGAGTGTAGCTGGCAGGTTTTAAAAGCTTGCCATTACAATTGCCTAATGAGGAACTGCATTAACAGCCTGTTTCTCCCACACCTCACATTCAGAGGAAAGGGTAAATTCAGCCATTAGAGTGGCTGGAAAACACTGGTGTCTCGTTTCAAAATTCCACTCAAATTCACCCCTAAGAGTAATAAGCTGCTGTGGCCTCTAATTTCAATAAAAGCAATATAGAGCACAGGGAGGGAGGGCTGGGCTCCCCAAGGAAAGGGAAACACCACAACATTTTCAGACATCATGGGGAAAAAATTGAATTACAAAGATTTGGGAATCTTAATGTCATAAAAAGCAATCCCAAGATTGTTTGATATTGCTTTCCAGCTTATATCTGCACACTGTAATACACCAACATATAAACTGATTTTTCTCTTACTACTGAAAAATCAAATAAATGAAACAGAGACTCTTGAAGGACATTCTACAGTGAGAAAAGCTTGCTAAATTTCAATTCTGTGAGTAAATTGAGACAAGGGACACAGTCTTGTCATCCTGGCTCTCTCTGTGGCCCATCAGTCTAGAAAATTAGAACATTCTGGGTCTAAAATGATAGGAAAAACAATTAAATGGGACCCAGGGTGAGTTAGAGGAACCTTGGTCAGTCTTGGATCCAGACAAAGCCATGGTCAGCAACCCCCCCTGCCCATCAAGCACTTACTGGTGTATGAAGAAATAGGTAGGAAAAACAAGCTGGAAAAGGTCTGGCTGCTGCTGGGATTGGGGGCAACCCTGTGGAGAAAAAAAGGATTTTTCTCCTCACCTCCCTTCAAATGTAACACCTGCTGAAGTTTCTGGCAGGTGTAGGGTGCTGGGGCCAGCTGCAACAAAACTGGGAGAGCCTGCTGAGGGCTGGCCAGTGGCAGGGAGCAGGCAGAGGGCCAAGTGTCAGAGGTGACAAAACAAGGTGGCTTTTGCAGAGACCCACAGGATCAGTGCATGTGTTTGTGCAGCTCAGAAAGATGCTGAAAGCTGCTGAGGCAAAAAGTGAGCATGGAGGGAAGAAATGCCCCAGGAATTTGGGAATATTTGCTCTCCAGCTGGCTCTGCCTCACCCCAGCACCTCTGAGCTCCTGCCTTTTCAACAAGGTTTCCTTGTTCAAGTTCCCTACTTTCATTTGCTCCAAATATGACTTTAAAACTAGAAGGTCTCTGATCACTCTTGATGAGCTCACTTTGAGGAAAAGGCTCCCACCAGGACTTCAGGGAATCATAAACACTTCTCAAACTACACTGGGTGTTTGCACCAGCAGTGCCAGCTGCTCCCAGTGAGCAGTGGCAGCCTGGGGATGCCGTCCCTGCAGCCCATCCGTCCCTTGTCTCAACCTGGAAGGAGCTGAGGCCTGGGAATGATGCATGATGGTGATGACTGATGGATATAACTCTTCTGTCCCTCCCAGTCCTGCACTTGACACTTTTCTCCACCCAGGCAGAAATAACTGGATGATTGCAGTGATGGAGAGGTTCCAGAACCAGTGCAGGTGCTGCAAACATCACCACTGGTCCTGAGGGCAGTCAAACTTTGCTCCTCTAGCTGCTTAAAATCCCTGTCCACCTGATTTTTCCACCATTTATGAACCCTCCCTCTGTTCCCAGCATCTGGGTTTCAAATTCATACATCATTGTATTGCCTGTAGCTTTCTTTATGCTTTGACATGTTAGTTAATCTAATGTCAATTAAACTGCTGGGAATGACAGCTTTTTAATTTTCTGGGAAGCTGCTTGCTTCTCAACACATTCTAATCTTCAATTTCAGCTTTTTTTTTCCAGGCCTAGACCTTTCCTAAGTACACATGGACAAAAGCTCCAAATTATCCTGTGGTTTGGTGATTCTGAGCAAAATGTGCCCTGGGGCTTAGCCTGAGAACATCAACTCATTTTCTTTAGTGACCCGAGACAGATAACCAGAGGCTGGGTTTCCAAAGGTGAAAGGCTGCTGTCACTAAGCCACTGCAGCAACTTAATTGAATGTTTTCTCCCAGCATCAGCAGCAAAGGCTGCTTTTACTATTTGTTCAGTGTTGGGATTAGGATGGAGTATTTGCCTGACTTGTCTCTGAACAAAAACTGTAAAAGAAAAAAAAAAATGTTTGCAATTACTTATTGAGTGCCATCCTGACATATCCAAGGGTCATTTGCACAGTCCTCCAGTCACTCTGGGTCAAAACTCATTTCTGCTTTGGTAAATCACACCCAGGATGGCTTTGTTGCATGTTATGACCTGCCCCACATCCACACATCATCAAACATTTGAATTAAATAGCACAAACTCCATGGTGCCTTTTATTTCTTTTCTTTTTTCCCACAGAGCTCTTTCATATTTGGGGGTTTTTTTCCCTCTTTTTTTCATTCCCAATCAGAGGCAAATAGAAAGGCTTAATTAATAGTATTTTGTTTCCATTTGGTTTGGAATGGAATTCTGTGCTTATCTTGGTGGGGGGAGCCTGGAGAAGGAGTCACCAGGATGTTCATTAATTTCCCAGTAGGGCTATGCAGATCAGCCTGGACCTGAGAAGGTTTGCTTTCCTTCCCCACCCCTTTGCATGCACACCCTCCTAATGGAGATGGAGGAGAGATAATCAGAGAGGGAACAGGCAGCTCTTCACCATTTGTGAGACTAATGAGCCCCTTCATCTATTCTCATTATAAATATGCCACCTCTGGCACCAGGCTTTGGTTCTGTTCCTAGCTACATCAACATCAATTTTGAGGCACACTGATGCATCACTAACACACACGACAGCCAAACCTCTCCTTTTCAGCATTTTTTTGTCATTGTACTGTCTGAGACCTTCCCTTCTTCACTGCTCCCCCTCTGAGAGGCAGAGAAGTCCAGACTGAAAAGTAATGAGACTATTAATTAGAGCTTCTCTAAAGGAAACCTATCCTGACTGGGTGTTGTCTCTGTCTCAGTCTTTGTTCCAGCCATGTTCTGTGAGATTAATACTTGTTTACACAGATTAATACAATAAATTAATATCTGCAGCTAGGGAGGAAAAAAAATTTAGCCTGAGTAAAAAGCCTGATTATTCCTGAGGTGGACAGTTGGGGTTCATTTTGTGTAGACACAACTATTTTATCTTCTTTGCACCTCTTTTCTTCTTTAAAAACTGTGTTTTCGGGCAGTTGCTGAGTGCAGCGAGGGAGAGACACAGAAATGTTTCGTAGGCTGCTCATCAATTTTGGCTGTTCACACGCTATCCAGGCCATGGGGGTGGGAATCTGTTTCCTCAGCAATTCAGAGGTCTGGCTGAAATGAGTTTGTGATCTCCTGTCCAAGAAAATGCAACCCTCTGTCGGGATTTTATAGTTTAACCACACACATTGAGGGCAGAGCAGATAATGGCTGATTTTAGTTCAATTAATTTCTTTATTGAGAAAAGTAAATACAACCACAGTACAGATGAACAATGCAACACCAGGTTATGTTCTACTGTCATGGATCAAAGTAGAAGTTGTCCAGGATGTCAAGTTGTTGATTTGATCATTACAGTTTATATTGTGCCTTTTTCATCTAAAAAAACCCAAAATCAAAAATAATAATACTCTTACTATCTGCCAAATATCTTAAGGAGACACCTTTCTGTGATATTAATAACACAGTGCTTTTAACTAGCTGATTTTTTTAAGAAATGAGATTTTTAACCTCTCAAGTAATATCATATTATTTTAGTTTCTCTGTTAGCAGCCTCTAAAATGACCAGGATGTAGCTGAATGTTAGAAAGACAATTCCTTTAAAGCTTTTAAAAAATTAAAACCTGGAAACCAACACCATGAAATTTCTCCAAAATGTTAAAAGATCAATTATTTTTCTGAACAATCAATAATTTCCCTAGCAACTCTATATGTATATCTTTTTTTCTTAAAGTATGCAGCATGCGTCAAAAGTTTGTTTCTGAATAAAACCAGATATCTTCAAACATAAATAAATACAACTGCTGAAATAAATGTCATTAAAATTGTATTGTTATTAAAAGCAGCAGCTAAATATTCCCAAAACAGAAATTTCAAAATTAAAGAGAAGAAAAAATGGTCCAAAAAAAAGAATAAATTCAGTAGGTTAAGATGAATCCCTGCATCCAAAAATTTTGTACATTCACTTAGCAAGATGTTTCAGTTATTTTAATGGAGTCCTACTATTAGACTTGTGAAAGTCTCTCTTGCTTGTAAAAAATGACAAATGGTAAGTGCTAGATCTGCATTGGCAGAAGGATTCTTCCTTTCATCTTCTAAACACAGGCTGCTCTGGCTGGATCTGAAAGCCTGGCCTGCAGCAGTCCCAGCCAAACACTGCCTCAATACCCAAAATCTCTTTCCTGGAGGGAAGGAAACACGCAGAAAATATGACAATCTGCTGACCACAATTTGTTGCTGTCTCACAGAACGGAGAAAAATGTGGTTTCTTCCTCAAAAGATGCAGATTTCCACACGTTACTACTGATCTGGAAGAAGAAACGATCCACTTTATTTCCTTGAGCCTCTTAGTGTGGTATCCTGTCAGAAAATATGAAAACACCCAACAAATATAACCAGAAATACAGAGCAAGTCCTTGGGCGAGGAGGAGCTGGCAGCTGAATGCAGCCAGAGCAGAGGCAGCATTTGTGAAGTTCACAGCACTCTTGGTCAGCTCAGCTGTTGGACCCTTTCAAGAGAAGCACCTCGTGGTGGTGCTTTCTAACACAACTCAAATAGCCAGGGTGATGATCTCACCTTGGTAATTCCTGGTCCTGTTTCCTCCTGGCTGAACTGCCTTAAAGTAGCCCATGTGCTCAAGAAGTGCTTTCTGTTTCTTACTGCATCCCCACTCTGGGCTATCACACACCAAAGCATGCAGCTTGTTTTCCTAAAAAATAATTTAAGGGTACTCTGTAGCATCTACTGCAGGGCTTACTGCTTTCATTTGCTTTGGATTGAAAATTCGCTTCTTTTGCTTGACATCAGTACCAGACTCTCAAACTACTTTCCCATAAGAATCTAACAATAACATCAAATGAAGAGGCAGTTTTGTTATTCCTGGTAGCCCAAATCTGTGTCCTGCTTGCTGGAATGACAAGTAATCTGTTTAATTCAAGACATTCTGCTTCCTTGTCCTTCAGCAAAGCAGAGAAAAATCCCACTGTAGAAGTGACAGGTTAAAATTTTAGTATTTTCCAAAAGAAAATTGTTATCATTCCAGCAACTCTGTTCACGAGTTTTATCGGCAGCTTTATAGGCAGAACAAATGTGTGAATCTCCTGCCCTGAGACCTCCACTGCTGCCACCCAGACTTGAGTCTTGCACCTGCCTCCCCATCTTAGTAACTGATAGAAAATCTCACATCCTATCCCCAGAAAATATTGAGATAATTGTTAACCACAAAAATCTTTACACTTTGACCTTCTTTCCTTCCTTCTGTTCTTAGATTTCTTGCACCTATTAGTAAGAAAGAACACTTGGCAATAAAAAATTTCACTGTCCTTAACAAGTATCAGAAGTTCCACAGAGAATTGGAAACAAAGCTTTGTCACAACAAAACAAAACTGAAAAATTCTTACCTCTCACTATTTTCTCTTTTGTTTTGTGGCCTTTATCACCAAAAGTAGATCTTCAAACCAGTTTGTCAGACATGTGCTGGAGATTGGAATGGAGCAATGTAGAAAATCTTTGTATCAGACAGAATAATACAAAGAAATCTGAAAGCATTCCAACTCAGAGCTCTACATATAAAAGGAATAGTGAAAGAGGGGGATATTAGGTGGTCTGGATGAAAACAAAAGGGTTTTTTAAATTTTGCTAAAATCCCCCAATTACATTTTTTTATGCAGGAAAAAAATCTAGTCTTGTTTCTGTCCTTGGCTACTAATCCATAGATGTTCAGTTGTAGAACACTTTATAACATCTACTTCACTTGACAGAAGCCATAAAACTTTCCTAACTTCCTTAACAATCTTAAAAACTACAATAAATTCTCCAAAACTAGAATTATTGCCAAGAATCCAATAAGCCACCTTCCTGACAAAACAGGAAAAAATTCAATAAAAGCCCCAGATAAATCTAAGCAGTCTACTGTGTCCATACCACAGAAGGAAGCCAAAAATGAGCAAAATCAAAATCCTGCCACTCTGAAGGAAGAACACTTCTCCTGCCCCAAATTTGGCAGTTGTAAGGTGTGAACTGTGTAAAAAATAACAGCCAGTGCATGAAATGTTAGGGGTTTGGGAGTATTGGGAAGCTCCATCATTTTATCATCTCTCTCTAACCTTTTCCAGGGCATCAGAGGGGAACAGGGAGAGAAATGTTCAGAGGGAGGGAGGAAACTGATGGAAACCTTGGAAGATGGGACATTAACAAACCAACAGCATGCAAAGAGCAAGCCAAACAGTTCCAAATCCTTTCCACAACAGAATTTCTTCCCCCCACTCTCCAGAACTCCAGCCCAAAATGGCTCATACTCTTCTATACAAATACTTCCTTCTGATTATTAGCAACCTTCTAATTTCAAGTCTAAATTTATTCATTACTCCTTGACAAATGGTTACTTTTTAACTGTCTCTTTCTCGTTAGAGATAATTATCCCTCAGCCCTAGATGCATTTACCAACATCTGTTCATTCAACTTTCCTTTGGCTATTTTCATAACCAAGATCTCTTTTCATAAGAGAGATAATCCATTCATTTCATCATCCCAGGAAGTTTTGTTCTGTATCTGTTTGCCTTTAATTTTTTGTTCTTCAGAAACCATGACCAGAACTATTTGTATTCTGTTTTCTTTCTATATTTTCCTATATATTCTACAATTGCATTTATGTATCCTGAACACGATGAAAAACACGTGATTTATCCTTGGAATTTTGCAGCTCCATTCTTCAGCTCTGTCATTCTCCAAATGACCAGATCAGCCAGCACACTTTTGGTCTCTTTGCTTTCCTGTCACCTCCAGCTTACAGATTCTAATTAAACCTTGATTTAAATCCACATGGAGATTTTTTATTACGCTTTCTAATCTTAGTATGACCTGCTTTTGCTACTTTTACAACTTTAAATAATACATTTATGCTGTCCATAGTCAAAGATGTTTCTTCTCTAAGTGCTTGAAGAAATGCCTGTCAGAAAGGCCAAACCCACGAAATATGTTGTATCTTTCTAAACAAAACCCTTAACCAGTTTTTTAAATCTGAAATATTAATTTATTAGAGCAAGAGAATGTCAATAATTTATGTATGGGCATGTATGGAGACCTATCTCTGAATTATCCTCATTAAGCACTGAATGAGGGGATTTGGATTTTTTAATGAAAAGGGCTCTGTTCAGAGTGGAATAATTAACTGACTTAAAACTAAGTTGCTGACAATTATTTCAATTATCAGCCTCATTAACAGGGTAAGGTTATGACTCAAGGTTGGAGTAGTCAGCAGAGAGTGTTACTAGGCTGAAACGATGTTTGCACGCAGTTTAGGTGTCTATATTGGTAAAATAAGGGTCAGGAGGGCAGCAAGTCCAGCAAAACTGTGTCCCACAGCTCAGTAATAAAATTAAAGAATGCATCTTGCTTGAGATGATAACCTGATTTGCTATACAGATGATTTTTTTCCTCTATTTTTAGAACTGTCTGAAGTCCAATTACTGTGTTCTAACTTTTATCTGAAATTGCTTTGGACTTCTGAATTTACTTGTAATTGCCTGGGTCTCTGCTATTCAACAGCTTGGAAATTCCATTTTCAAAAACGAAATGGCAAAGCGTCTTCATGCGGAAGAAAAGGCAGACTTTCAGTGCCATAAAGGAAGGTTTAGTTTCTATAAATACTGGCCTATTTCCCATTCAGCTGAACATGTCTGCAGCGTGGGATGCATCTCTCCCCAGCAGATCATTCAGACAGTGTCACAGGGGTTTCAGATTTCCTATTGGAAATTGCCAATCAACAGATTTTTATACCGAGTTCATTTTTAGTCAGTGAGTCAGTGGCACATCATTCTGGAGTGACAAATTACAGGGAGATATGTAGGACTGTGTCAGAAATTCTGGCAAAAACTTCAATAAGTCTGGGTGGGCTGGGCCTAAGCTTCAATGGATACCAAATATTTTTATATTTACACCCCCCCCAATAATAAGATAGGCATTTCTAGATGGATCTCCTTGGCACAGCACTAATAAACATGGCAATGAAAGTGATCCAGCCCCACAGAAAAAAGCTCCCAAATGCATTTAGGAGGTTTGAACTTTTCAAGGGTATGATCAAAGCTGAGAGGAGTGAATGGAAAGGCTCATATTGACATCAATGGGCTCTGGAACAGGCTTGATGTGTTGACAGCTAGAGAGATGCTCTGAAACCATCTGAAAATAAATTCAAAGCCTGATAGGCCACTGTGGCAAAAAGATACCATTGCTTCATTCTCTGCCATGTCAGGAAATTATCTCTGAGCTGTCAGAGTGGGTTTCTCATTTTAGTGTTTGTGTTTCTAGCCCATCTCTCACCAAATGGCTTTCCTTTTGTGTGTATGACAATTGATTAGTAACAAAAAGCAACAGGGTCATACAAGTAGCACACTTTGCATCTATAATATGAAATATTCTTGCACACAGCCAAGTATTTAAAATTATATTCACCACACACCAGAAAAAGCTGAGACAAATTGGTCTCTGCTAACGCGGGGCCCATGCACTTTAGCATTCCCTTACATAACATTAGTGAGAAAATTTTAACTTTCCCCCAAGCTCTAATCCACCTTAAAAGCAGCAGTCTCATTCCAATCGATTTGGTGAGATGAATGTTATTTACACTTCAGTTTGCACCTTTTTCTAAGATTTCATAAAAGAATAAATCCACACTTCCAGGGACGGCTGTGCATGAGGAAGTCTGGGGCTGTTAAGAAGAAGTGTTAGACACGTATGGGAATGTATTAGTAAGGGTCACACCTCCATCTTAAGATTTTTAAGTGACAGCAAGAGCATAAAAGACAGCAGGATGGCAAAGAGAGATTGATTGCATGTGGTTCCTCCTTCTTTATAGCCAGGTTTTTTAAGTTGTTAAGCATCGCTCTCCAACAGCCTAGACAGACCAGGCTGTCTAGGTGCACCTACATAAATAAGACAAATGAAGCTTTGATGAAATAAACCCTTCCAATTAAATATATCATTTCCATACTATGTATGCTGAGGCCAGCAAACACCTCATAACAAATGTGATGACAAAACAGAGGTTAGTTAAAGCAAAACTGTGTTTTTCGTGGTAGAAATTCCTTAGAGCAGCCAGGTGAAATTGAGAGAATTCTTCCCAAAGGTTAGAATTAGGGCTGGAAAAAGTTCTGAGAAATTTACACTAAAGTAGAACAGTGATTGTATCACTGTTTAATGCTAACACTTTTTTTCCCTGGTTTTGCCTGTTTTTTCTCTCATCCCAGTGTATTTTCCCCAGCCATCAGAAAAGTAACACTGAAAATGTTATTACTGTGATCTCTCCAAATTGATTTGCTCATGGATCCTGCAAGCAAAAGCAAAGGGATGAATCTATGCTCTGGGCTTCAGTCACATCTGCTGCAACACTTAAATCACATCATGGCCTTTTACATGGCCTGATCGTCCAGAGAGCTGCTCTGAGGCAAAAACATGTAAATTATTATTTTTTCTTACATGTTTTTGGGGACTGCACATAGCTGTTGTCTCCTGAGCAAAACAATCTGAAAATGCTGTAAAGACCAGTCCTCACCACATACCAGTGCAGGCTGAGCTTGAAATCAGTTGTCTTAAAAATCAGCCTGACCCAAACTCTAAACTGCAGGAGCAAAAACACAGCGGTGGCCTGGTCCTTGTTTGGTACCACTGGGTTGTGTTTAGGGAAAGCTGAGGGTTTGCCACACTGAGAAACTCTGTCCTACTCCAGGCTGGGATGAAGGACAATATTTGTCCTTCTTTTGTCTGAGTTACCAAAGGATTCAAATGCATTTTTGAAACCTTTAAAGCCTTGAAACCATCTTCCCTAGTCAAACAGCCCATTTTCCAGCCTTTCTAGAATTATCACACCAATTCTTCCTTACTTTCATTAAGGCAAAATCAGCTTGGGTTTTAAGGGCTTACAACAAAGGTCAGAAGAAAGGCCAGTTCAGGATGATGGTTGATCTAACAATCTTTCCTGGATGCTCACTTTTCTGCACCATGACCCTCTGAACTCATGAGGTCTTACCTACAGTGCTATGGGAAATTTTATATATGAAGACTTCATTTGTTTTGCTTTGGGGTGTGAGTCTGAAAAGAATGGGTTCAGCAGCACAGAAATATTTTATAAGTTCACTGTTTTTTTATTAATCCTTTGTTTTAAAAGAGTTCTGGAAGAATGCAAACAGAAGGGATTTCTTCTGATGCTTCTCATTTCAAGGGGGAAATTTTAAAATGGACATTGTTGAAATGAAACAGTTTATATGTGTACAGCATTGAAAATGTATTTTGTACAGAGTGAATAGGAGGTATCTTTTGATGGTTAAGGGTATGACAAGCGTTGATGTGTGCTGATAGCAATCATTCTGCAGTGGTGTAGGGGAAGGAAACAGCTTGGAAGGGGTGAAGCAAGGTCTCCCTGTGGGTTTTCTCTTGTGTGACACAAATTTCCCCCACCTTCCTTGCTACAAGTACTTCTGGCTTGATTTTTTACCAGACTGTCCAGTAGCTCCCTTCTGCCTGTTCACACAGCATCACAAATCAAGCAAGAGCTGTCCTGTGGAAGCCAGAGCTAACAAGAGAGGACTATTTTTAGCACCAAAGTGAGTTTAACAAATGGATCATAGCTAAGGCAGCATGACAGCTCTGCTGCCTAATTAATAGAGACACCAAAGGTGATTCTGCAACAGAGCCAGAATCCCCACTATGCTGGGCCTTCAGATCAGGCAGATTCTGCAGCTCTCTTGTGTTAAGCAACCAGAAAAAGCATCCCAAATATACCCCAAACCTGGCCCATAGGTGCTCTAACTTACCCTGCTCTGAGACAGATAATAAAAGGTTTTCTTGGGTGTTTTTGGCTCCACTCTTTGTTTATCCCTGCATATAGTCAGAACTCATTGTTTTCACTCTTTCCCTCTTTCTACTCATAAAAAATGACTAATACCTCTTTGAGATGGACCATGGTGGACCGGACTGAAGCTCTCCAGGTAAAGAAGAGGACTGAAACTCCTTCTCTGTAGGGAGACAGGTGACAACATTGTCACAGAAGTGAGACAGAAACCAAAACCAGTCAGAACTTGAGATTTTTCTCCTATTGTGCAATGTGATTATGGCCAAACCCTGTCCACTCTTCTGCTCTAAGGATTTTATGGATGTGCAGATTTTTGAGTACTTGGCATGGATAACTGATAATATACCAGGCTCCTTATTAATCTCTCCCAAACTCCCCACAGACCTTTTCTAAGAATATTGAATGCAATTCCCTGGAAGATCATTTTATAGCAAACAATTTTACCAACAACAGAATCTTTCCACAAGTGAACTTGCTGTGCCTGCAAGACAGTCTCTCCATGCTTTCCTATCCTTTGAATTCCTATTAAATTTGGCTGAACCCACACAAGTTTAAAGAGACGTTTTTCTCAGTAGGCCATCCTGTTTCAGGAAGTCCTCAGCTTGCCATGGCTAAGCTTGTCTTTGGAAATTATTATCTCAGAAGCTGCTCTCCAGGGAAATTACTGCAATCCAATCACCACAAATGTAAATTAAATCAGCATCCGATACAGCCACAGTGGTTTGTGTTCCTCCCCACTCCCTTCTCCCTTTGAGAAATCTAATTCTGAAACCACTGAATAAATTCTGCTGCCCACCTCCCACAAGGAAATAGCTGCAATGATCTGAGAGGAGATACAGTCTGTAGGAAATCGCAGTACAACTTGTTTGTGAAGTTTATTTTGGTTCATGACTTCAGCGGCTTTCCTGCCCCTCAGCCCCTCTCCTGCTGTGCATTTACCCCATATTCTGTGGCAGGGATAAAACTTCCAATCTCCCCCTTTGTGTGGGACCCTGTTTCCAACATCCACTCTGGATGGAAGCTGTGCTTCCCTGCATGCAGGGCTGGGAGCACTCCTCCTGTGAGCTGAGGTGGAGAAGCAGGCAGCAAAAGATTCTGAGAAGTTTAGGATGTGCCTCACCTCGCAGCTCTGTAAAAGTTTTTCAGCTTGGAGAAGTGCAATACTCTAGGAAAAGCATCAGGTTTCATTTAACAGCAACTAACAAACCAAAATAAGGAAAGAGGTTGGTGAGAAGAAGCTGAAGGAGTGCTGAAGGAAACTGAAAGGCTTTGGAGCAGAATATATCAAGAACAAAAGTGGGTTACCCAAAATTGTCACTTTGGACTCAAATCCGTAAGTACAAATTCAGTTCCATGTGACAGATACATGCTCACAAGTCTGATAATTCAGCCACAGAGCAAATAAACCAGTGAAAAACCTTCAGCTGTGTGTCCCCAGTCACTAATTGGTCTGCATCATGTGTCTGAAGGAAGCCAGGGCTGGAACAAATCACCCTGAGTGCCTTTTAGGGTTGTTTAACAAGTATTGGGTAGTATGCAGAACTGTGATGTTCTCTCTTCAGAAGAAAAGGTCAGCTGATGTCCACATAACCTGCAATGATGAAAACTGGGCTTATTAAGAAATGTCATATTTAACATTTAAAAGCCATTCTGTATCAATTTTCATGGTTAAAATATTGTTCTGCTTGACATCAAAAATGTAAAATGAACAATATTCAAATAATTGCTACAAATCTTGAGAGAATCTTTCCATCAGTTATACCTCTTTATTTTGGTTTTGAGTATAAAGGGTTTAAAACTCCAGTCACCCAACATAGCACAACCTCATTCTTCTGCCATTTACAAACCTTTGTTTTATTCACATGGTTTCAAACTCCATCATAACTATTATTATTAACAATATTGTTAGTAGATAATCTTCAACATTTAAGCAACAGCGATATAAAGAACAGATAAAAATTAATGTCTTCATCTTGTAAATCTGAAAAGATACATTAAAATTTTGGATTGTTTTCTCTCAAATGCATATATACACACACATTCATTTATTTCTGTTCAGCAGAATTTTCCTTCTAAATGCTTGTTAGGAAGGAATGGTAAGTATTGTACAAAAATACATCTCTTGAGTTATAAGAAAACTTTTAACTAAAATTAACCTGAGTATTTGAATGCACAGGCACCATCCAGGAATTTGTAGTGACAGCCAGTGTTGGTGTGACAGCACAGCACAGTTAGTGGATATAGAGGTTTTTATGTCTTGGAATGAAGATTCAATACAGCTGGACAATAAAAAAAAAAACCCTTTTACTATGCAAGAGGGATAGGCTTTGATGCACTTCCACATTTTCATTCTGCCTTTCGGAAGCTTTAAGTTTTCTGAGTATCAACAGTCACTACAATGTTACTTCTGAGCAACTTTACCCAGTCTCAGAAAGGAAAGATTATTTGTAGACAGAATTTATACATAGTTTTGTTAAACTCCCATTAAATCGGAAAAATCTGGAAATTCTAGAGGTAGAAATGGCAAGTGAATCAGTTCAGCTATTATACAATTTCTAGCACGTAGTGGGGGTCAGCGAAAAAAATCAGGGACAATTCTGTCAGTTGCAAACATGGGCAGAAATGGTAAAATATAGTTAAGAAGTGCATTTAAGTATGCAGCTGTATTCCAACGGATGGCATCATCCAGGGAGTGATAGAGGCCCAGACTGGTAATGTAATGTAAGCAATTAGTTCTGGCAGCTACAAAAGAACTGGTGAAGCAGAAAAATCAGTCTCAAGAACTAATCTGTATCTGCACAATGGCAATGTCTTGATAACACATCTGAAACATGCAGTTCAAACAGGAAGGGCAGAGGAGCTCTATGGATGCTTCAGAGAGCTGTCACCCACTAATGACTCCTAGAGCCAGGTGGAAGCAGGGAATTATCATCTGGAAAAGCTGGAAGGGAATACAGGCAAGCCACCTACCACTAAAAAAAAAAGAAATAAAGAAATTTAAAACATTGAAAAAAACCCCCATCATTTAAATTTCAATGTCACAGAGCAGTTTCCCAAAGAACACTGTTTGCTATTCTTCAGTAAATTTAAAGCACTGTATGTACTCACAGCATACACTGGCTCTAACCCCACAAATCACTTATGTTTAAATTTTTACAGATGCACCATTCCAACATAATTGCAATTTGTCTAAATGATTATGTTTTTCTGTGTTTATACAGTACATACAGCTCTCACTGTGAGCTCTTTTGTGGACTTTGTAAAGGTTGAGCTCATGCTGCTTGCTGGGATATTAATAGGATCTCTCTCTTTGTTCAGCTATTTCTCCCAGAAATAAACATAATATCCTGGACACAATTCTTGTAATATCACACCAAAAACTGGCCAGAGGTGCTGTAGATTTCGGGTAGAAGAGGGCAGAAGGAAGAAGAGGATCACAAATTAAATGCAGATAAATTTGTGCTTTAACAAAGCAATCTTAAAAAGGTCAGGTATTTTTACAAGTCTTCGGCAGGGGACAATTGTACAGGTCCTGATCTACACGCTGTGAAAGTTATTTTTAAAAATTACACATGTAAGTATCCCAATATAACTTGCACAGAATTTTTACAATGCAGGAATTTTTAAAAGACGTTCTGGTTTGAAATTGCAACAGAATTTGTAATTGTACAAAGTAAAAAGTATGCCTGGGGATGGCAAAAGACTTTAGAAACCTATCTGAAATTTATCTTTCATTTACAACAGTTAAACTGGGAAGAAAGAAAAAGAAAACTTCAGATTATTTGATCCAGTGGATCATTCCTGTTTCAAAATAGCTCAGTTCAGCCTCAGGCTATGGATCTCTGAGTGGCATTTATGTAAAAGCTGAAAAGCTCTCTTCTCTCTTCCCCCTGCTACCAACCAGAAAGAGGAGAATGCCTTGCATAAGATGTCAGACCAAAGCACAAAACCCCTATTCAGATTTATTTTGAGAATTATCACAGCTTCTCTTCATTTACTTCCTATCTTTTTTGGTTTGAACATCTTAGCAAAGTACGCGATGAACAGCTACAGTAGCTGGAATAACTTACTCCCTCTGTGCATGTGACAGCCATGACCTCATGGGGGGTCAGAAACAGCTTTGACCTAAGTCAGCCCCTTGGATGGGTGGCACTGGGTCACCTCTGGGACCTGGTGTCCGTCTGTCCCAAAGGGGAGGTCATGAGCTTGACCGTGCACCCACCGTGGGCTGTCTGCTCTGCCTCCCCCTGTGCCTTCCAGATCTTCCTCATTTGGCACACACACATTTCCTGCAGAACAGCAAGAAAACAGCAAGAATCCCCTTAAATTCTGGATGCTTTCTTTCCACACCTAGGTTAGGGGCCCTCTTGCAAAAAAGCACTTTTGTAAATGTCATGATGCGCTGGAATCAATTGTAGTACGTACCCTTTAAATAAAACAACAAAGTAATTCCTGAGAGCCGTGGTATTTCAAGACATTCAGGGTAAACAGAAAATTTTGCTGGTGCTTGGGTTTATTCTCGTGTGATCCAACAAGAGAGAAATACAAGAAAAATCTGTGGTTGTAGCAGAGACATTGCTGGGAGGGGATTTTACCATGTGTGTATTCTACTCTCCACGGAAAGAGAAGATAAAGCCAAGTGTGGTTTCCTAAAAATGTGTGACCAGTGGATTACTTCCTGCTTAATAAAACATAGCTAAATGCATCTAAGTTTCTCCAGATGGATATTATTTATGAATCAGGGAAAAGATAAAATTAATAGTAACATCAAAGTTGCGCTGAAAAGTTTCCTGATTAAATATTATCTGACCTCCAAATGGTCTTCCTCTGCATTTCCTGGAGCAATTTGGCTATTAGTCAACCCACAGAAATGTAGATGACAGGTTTATAAATATCAGAATCAGAGCTGGAATCTAAACTTCACTTTGATTTAAACGCTGTTCAACAAGGTGACATTTTTTTCCGGGCACCAGATGCCCTGGCAAAAGAGGGAGGACACGCTTTTTGCACTCGGGGCTTTTCCAGCAGAGCCAAATATTTATTATCCGTGGTACCAGACAGAGGGATTGCGTGGTGTGAATGACCACAGCACACTGCTTTTGTTAGGGCAGTTCTTGTGTGGATAAAAGTCTGCAGGCTGCTGTGGTGACTGAGCCATAGAAGTGTTTATCATCCTTGGGCTTGCTCACACCCTGCAGCTCAGAGCAGAACACGGAGATACAGGCTCTGCTCTGTCCCAAAACCAAGCAGATTCTAAGGATGCAGAATGACTTCGCCACATCCTTTCTCCCACCCACACTTGATGTATGTATTAGATAAACCTCTCTTTATCAGTTTTTTCCTGAAAAAAAACAAAAAAAATACAAAAAAATACAAGGATGTCCTTGGGAGAGCTTTACTCTGCTGGTGAACTCCCATACTCTGAATTTTCTGCCACTTCAGTAATATCTCTCTCTCAAAACACAAACGTGCTGGGAGAAGCTCATAGCTGCAAATCCCAGGAAGCCTCTTCAGGCTCATCATTAAGAGAGTCCTCTGAGCTGGCACTTCACAGAAATCAGAGAAGGGAGAGTGAGTAATAGCCTGTGTTAGACAGAATTTCATTAAAATAAATGATCCACTCTGTGTACGTTCTGAAGGAGTTTTACGAACAAGTGTCAAAACACTTCAGTGACAATTGTGACTATTATTCTTTCTGCTGAACTGTAGCTTTTACTACTGTAAGCAGAATTCCAGGAACATACCTGCTGTTCCAGAGCTCCACATTCCACCTCAAGCAGATCTGGCAGGGCAAATTCCAGACTTCTGCTGCAGGAGAGCATGGGAGCTTCAGTGCACCAGGAAAAGCACACAGAGAATGAGAACACACCATGAGCTGTGAGGCTTCAACCCCACCAGTGCCATCAATTGCCAAGTGCTACAAAAAAAAGAAAAATAAGAAAAATACCAGCTTTGAGTCTCAGAGAATGACTGCAGAAGAATCACAGACACTGCATACAGGGCATTCCCACTTTGGGCTATAGTCAAGGAGAAAGGGGAATCTCTGATCTGCATAGTACATTCTGTATGTTTAGTTAAAGATTTGTCAGATAATTAATTCAGTGAATTTTGAGGGGCCATATTATTCTCTCTGAAAGTTGAGATTAATTTACATCCCAAAGTATCTAGCTGTGTTTGCTGAGCTAACTTGATCACACAGCACTTTTCTGTGCATTTAATCCTTACATATCCATAGAGAGAACCTCAACATGGTGATATCCTGCAAAGCCTATACATTGCTCTGGGAAGCCCAGCTGCCTCAGGACATGCAGAAACTAATTAGAAATGCAAACTAATCTCATCCTGTGCCACAGGTCAGCGTGAATGCATCCAGAGCCCGGATATTTTTCAAAGAACACCTCAAAAGGCCGTGCCTCATGCTAGGAATTCCTGCCTCATCTGCAACAGCTGAGAAATCTTTCACTGCCACGATGGGACTGAAATCCTGCCATAAATGTGCTCTGGGATGAGCTCTCCTCAATCACATTGCTCTCTTTTATGGCCACAAAGGATTCCATGCCAACTGTGCTGGGATAAATGCAATTTCTGAGGAGGATGAAGACACTCGGTGTTGTCAGGCTGCTGCAAATGTTTAAACTCTGAAATGGATCATGAGGCCACACAACTCCATAGGAACTGAAAGCCACAGTTTTTGCCTGGCATCCAATAATGCAATACAAAGACTGGGAAAAGTGCTTGCAGTTAATCTGTTCTGAAATTGTACCTTTTCCTCCCTGTTCCTGCACATGGGAGAGCTCTCCATGGTTGCTTGGGCTTTGCTTTGGTGGTTTTGTTATTTCCTTTCCTTTATTTTTACAAACAGGACAGTTTTGTCATATGCTGTCATTCATTATTCATTATTTAAGGGGTAACTGAAACAGGCTGCATCTCTGAAATTAGGATTCACTTTTCCAAATGTCTCCACTCTCCATGCTGGCAGAATAATCTTTGCCAGACACATTCCAGCCCAGGATATTTTTGAGCAACCCAGTCTAGTGGAAGGTGCTGCAGAAGGTTTGGAACTAGATTTTCTATAAAGGTCCCTCCCAATCCAAACCATTCCAGGATTCAATGAACATCCCTTTTCAGAGGTTATCTTTTACTACCTGTAAGGCTTCAATGAAAATAGTATGAAAAATAATAAAAAATTCTAGTACATCTATGACAACACACTGAGAGCAAACAGATCTAAATAGTCAGGTTAATTTTTGCAGTAATTTTGTTTTCAGTAGTAGTGTACGTATCATTAAAATTAATTTTGAACATATATAAAATGCTTCTATCCCCAACAAAATTATTTTATGGGCTGTATTCACCAGTTCTTCACACAAATCCTTCTTTTCTAGAATTTAGTCAGTCATTAGGGAAATTACATTCTCTTGCAAAAGACATTAGTTGTCATCTCAGGAAGAACATCAGTGACTGGTTCAAAGTGAAAGCCACTCTGAGTTTTAAAAACTAAGTTCCTACAAAAAGGGTTTTTCTCATTCTTCATTATAAATAGAATTTGTGGAGTCAGAATTCAGTGAAATTTTAAATCTGCATGTGTGTAATGCAACACCTGTTCTTATTGCTAAGAGTTGTTTTGCAAGATCTGTATCACAACAAGCTCCAAAACCTTATTTTTCTTCCATTGGTGCCTTGACCTACCACTTGACTATCAATGCTAGACAAGAAATTAGCTAAAAAATATTTATCGACTATGGGAAAGCTCTAATGCAGTGTCTAAAACATTAGAAATGCACACTGCAGGCAGAAAAAATGTCCTGACCTATTATTACATGAGCATTTTATTTGTTGCTGAGTTATATGTTGAGATCACAGCAACACCAACAGCCAAGCTGGGTGCACTGCACTGCTACCACACCCATACATCATGACAAATAATGAGAGTACAAATACTATTAATTCAGCTGCACAGCTCATTATGATGAAAAATTTATTTGTAGATACCTCCCTGATTAATGCCCAATGCCTGGTTAATCTAAGACACATCCAATAGGAAAGGAACTGGAGTCAATGAGAGGTACCTGACATGGGAGTGAGCACAATTTATCACTGCACTGAGTAGTCCATGGCATTGTTCACTGTGCACACAAACAGGCACAAACACTTCCACAACCTCCCTGGAAAAATGAGGTATCTGGGAAAAACACAAAAGGCCAGAAAACTCATGAGGCATGTAGTGTAGGTATTTGCATAGACAGTAGACAAAGGCAGCTGTGAGAAAGAAAGAGACGGAAGACAAGCTGGCTGGAAAGAAAGCTGCTCTGCTCTCTTCTGCTGCACTCAGTGGCATTTTAGGAGTTGCCAAAATTGTCAGTGCTTTCTGCTTCAGCACACCTACCCAATTTCCTCAAGTGTTTGGAGCTGCAGCTCACCTGGATTTACTCCATACAAGCACTGAGGAGCATATTCCTTGTGCTACTATTGCTCATATCTTAGATTTCTACTGGAAATTCTTTGGAAGAATTATAAAATCTATAAAAAGCACAATATTTAGTTCTCTGCACTAAGCTATGTTATAGTAAGTGCTGTCTTTCATAACTTTTGCAAGTGTTTAACTAGTCTTGAACCTAAGATTAGAGCCTTTGAGGAGAGGCTTACCTGCAACAGATCACATCAATGCCCCATCCAGAGCAGGAAAAGCAGAAAGTGCAGCATGAAAAGAGAATGTGAGCCTGGCCCTCTTCTTGGACCACCCCACACTTCCCACCTGGAGAAATCTCATCCATTGCCATGCAGATGCTCACTTTTCCTGTAAACTCAGCCTTAGATTCAGATTTAGCCCCTACATTATTTAGAGTTATGTGCACGGAACAGGCTCTCCCATCAAATAATGGGATGATTGCACTGAGATAAGTTTTCTCTTATGATAATTCTATTAATCAAGAGTAACAATCCAATGGAGTGTCCCTTCAGTACACACACAGTTACCCTGAACACCTAATCACCTAACACACCTAACACCTAATCACACCTAACATCAGCTCTGGGAGCAGATGCAATTTTCTGTTCAGAGCAGAAACCAGGCCCAAAATATTGACATCCCCCAGCATCAAGGTGTACCAGACATGACATTCCCTTTTTGTACTCAAAAGGGCAACCCCAGCACCCTGCCAGTGCCAAGGTTACTCCTCCTAAATCATCCTCTGGGAATGTGTCTGGGAGAGGGGGAACAGGCTGGGCAGGAGGGGAGAGCAGTGCCAAACCCTGCAGGTCATCTTCCACAGGTAAAACACATTTGAAATATCCCAGTCTCTCACTGGTGACATAAAACTCCCACTGGAGAACATCCTTTGCAAGCACTCTGGAGAAAATCTGTCTGGAAATTCAGATTTATCAGCTGCTACTTTGCCCTAGATAGAAATCTGCTAGAATTTCATTTCTATCACATGTCACATTTTTAAATGTAACATTTAAGCTAATTAAGGGGGAAAAATTAGAAATTGAAAACCATTTCAAGGTTTTCTAGAGATGGTTGAAATATCTAATTTTAAAATAACCCTGAATTTTATGGTAGTCCTTTCAGGGGGAAAAAATAGACTTTCCTTTTTGCAATATTACCAGTGAAACATTTCTTTTATAGAAGTGGTTAAAAAAAAGGAAATAATGGGATAAATAGAATTTTTTTTTTTTATTATTCTTGGGTGCTTTCAAACAGAAAGAGATGATGAGAATATTAACTAGAGGGAGCTTGAATAAAATTAACAAAAATGAACTAAAAATAAGGAAGAGCATTTTGATTCCAAATGGAGAAAGAAGAAAAGAACATGCACCTGCAGTAGCTCCAGTGGCCTGCAGCTTTACAGAGCACAACATAAATTACTGAGTAAAATCTATGAAGCTGTCACAAGACTGGTTTCTGAAGCAGCTGCCACTAAAACTCAGCTAGAGTTACTAGAGAAGGAAAGGAAAATTAGAAAAGTCAATATGGTGTAGCCATAAAATAAAGATTTCTTGCCAAAAAAATAAACAGAAAAAAAGTAAAAGTCACCAAACTGGGAAACATAAGAAAGACTTTATTTATAGAGGTTATTTAGGAACAATAAATAGAAAGACAAACAGAAAGCCAGCTAAAAGCTCAAGAGAGGAAAGAAACAAAAATCATGTGCTACTGGTAGAGTTCAGAAATTTTTGTAATGCCTAATTAATCAGTGACTTCTTAAGCCCACGGAAAAATAAAAATCTTAGTGGCAAAAAGCCCATGAGAATTTCTATGCTACAGAATGGCACAGAACATATTGAAAATACACAGGGCTTTGGACAGACATATGCAATAAAATCCATGGAAGGGCCCTGCAGGTGCCATGACCTACATTCATCAGAAATCTGGTACATTAAAAGGAAAAATTATTTTCTGAATAGAATTTTTCCAGGAAGACAGAAGCCACTCTGAAGCCACTTCATGTTATACTCCTGGAGTGTTTAGACCCAGGAGAGACCCCAGGGATAAGAGAAATTACAGCTCTAGTCCATAAAGTCTCTGAATATTCAATAATCAGAGTTTCTGACTTCTTAGAAATAAGAGTTGCCTGACCCTGTATCTCCACACAAGAGTGAAATGTCAGTAACTTCTGTGTTTGTAGTCTGGCACACAATTTTTAATGTTTCCTTGCCACTTTTTACAAATGACCACTGGTTCTCTACCATTGTTCCGAGATGCTGCAGAGGCCCTGTGGAAAAGAAAGTTTAGGAATGACTAAAGAATGAGTCTTTTTGAAGTGGTTTGCAGACTACCTCTAGAACATTAGAGTGCTGAAAATAGTTCCTTATCTGCCCTGCAGTTCACAGGGCCGGATGAGATGAACTCTTTGTAATAAAAGGCAGGAGAACCCCTAAGGATATTGGTTTGCTGGGAAATAACGATAGAGAAGAAAGAAGCTGTTAGAGTGAAAGATGGGGAGCTTGAAAGGGGAGAAATGAAAGAAAAAAGAATGAAATATTTTCAGAAACCGACATGAGTGCCAAGAAGGGGGAAAGAAGGAAAGAAAACTGAAAGCTACTGAGTGACCTTTACTTTTAGCATGGAAAATAAATGTTTCCTTTTATAGTTTCTTGTTAAAATAAGACCAGTCAGGGATCATGAATCTTTATACAATTTTATGGTTTCCTTTTCAGTGAACCATTTCAGTTTTACACACAATTTTATAATGTAACTGCATAAGAAACTGAACTTACCTTTACAATGCCATGATGACAGCCTGTGAAGCTGCAAAATATATACATGCACACATTCTTCTGAGCAAAAAAAAAAAGAATCTGCAACACTTTTTTTTTTAATTCACAAAAAAAAAATCTGCTTTGAAACTGAACTGAAATGATATTTCCTAACAGATTAATAATTAAATCAAAACAGAAAACAGAATACCCCCCACAACCATACATGCACACAGCTGTAATCACTATTTTTGAGCAGACACTCTGCCTTTGATCTTTCCTGGCCCTCCTCCATCTTCTAGACAGTACAATCCCAAAGGAATCACTGTACCAGACACTTCTCCATCCCTCCCTGGCCTGTCTGCCTCTGCAGCAGCCTCATACGGAAAACACAGCAAAGCCCTGCTGAAAGTGAGAGAGTCAATACCCACTGACTCAGTATCTGACTTCTTCTCCCCCTGGAGAAAGACTCCTGGCTTCCCAGAAGTCCCTAAGGGCAGCTGGAAATTGGGTGAACACAGCACAAGAGCTCTGTCCTGGCAGCTGTGCATCAGGGGCTGCATCTGTGTGCAGGGCCTCAGGACGGTGATAGGACCTGGAGCCCATGAAACCCTTCCTTATGGAAAACCTTCCCTGGCACAGTCTGAGTAAGCAGGAACAATTCAGGGTAAAGCCCCTAGACAATAATTTCCAGATATCTTCTGGTTTCCATAGATTTTACAGGTGCCAAGGCCCAAACTCCCACGCTAGCCCACCAGAACAGGAGCTTTGAGCTGGCCTTGACTCTGGTCCTCCATGGCATGCAGGTCCCAGCTCTGACACCAAGGCCTGTTTAGTTCCTGCCCTGAAAACCCTGCCTCTGGCTTCTGGAGATGGCAGGTTTCTGCCAATGAGATGGCTCAGGTGCCCCTCAGAACTGATTTGGTGTTTAATCTCTGCTGCATTGTGGCAATTTTCATGTCTGTGTTGGCATCTGCACTAATCTGATATTCCTCTGCAGGCAATGAGGCACAGAGAGGGAGGAGTCATCTTCTGTCTTTATTTATGATTTCAACTGTTTTGGTCTGTATCTCACATTTTTAGGGTTTTTTGTGAGCCTCCATGATGTATGCTTTGTCTGCATTTAAGTATTTTCTCCACTCGGGTTATGAATAACCAGACCAATTTATGCCTGACTTCAAGATCAGACCCATCAGGTAATTAAATCCTGGTATTTCCTCAGTTCAGAATATCAAATAAATAACTAGATAAACAATAAACAAATAAATACATAAATAAATAAATAAAGCCAAGTTTTTTTTATAGCAATTGGATTCATCTCATGCCCCTCATTCAGTACTTGCCATTGGACTAGAACAGGAAAGGAATGGAAATGCACAGGTCACCTTCCTTCCCCTCCCCATGGCCAGAGAGAAAATCCTTGTCCACCTCCCTCACAGAGAAAAGGCTGAGTTTATCCAGGTGACATGGGATGAACATGCCATGGGTGGGTTGGGATGAACAAGCAGAGCCACAGGGTGGGTTTGCTCTGCCCAAAGTGAAGAATCTCCCCTCTAAAATATCAGTGAAAGCAATGAGTGCATTTTAAAGCTATCTCTGGAACTTCTTTATCTCTTCAATTTTATCAAACACGTTCAACCCACATCAGGCTGTAATCTTGAGTTTTGAACTCTGATTTTGCCAGGAACTCAGGATAGAGAAAAAACACTAATTAGAGAAATTTCAGTCCCCTGAAGTCAATGGCACACAATGGGGATCCACACAATACACCAGAGATTATTACATCTTTTGTTCTCCCTTCACGCCACATGAAATAGAGCTTTATCAATGAAGCCATCCTAGCCATAGCTTCTACTAAATACATGGTACATAGCCACTAAAAGGAGAATTAAAACACTTTTATTGAAAGATACAAGGCCCCTCACACGATGTATTTCTGGACACATTATTATAAGTGGCAGCAGCAGTCTATTATTCTGCTTTTTGATATACTGGTATTCAGGGCTGGCCTTAAAAATGGATGCATTGCCTTATAAATTAGACAGCATATTGAAGTATGCTCATGACATGCTGCCAGATTTATAGCCTGTTGATGGCTGTCCCCTAAATTAGATCCCCTCTTCTGCCTGATGGTAGAGGCACAGCAAAAGGAAGGATGGACACAGTAAAAGCTGATAGGAGACATTAGGACAGAGGAAACACAAACCCAAGTGAAAGGCAAGAAGTTAGCAGCAAACCCAGCTGCCTCTGCTGTGCTTTTCTGTCAAGTTTTGTGAGAGAAAGCACATTGTGGGAAGGGATCCATCCTGACTCATGTTCCATCAGATGTGTTTGCTGTCAGCTCAGGCTCTCCACAGAGCTGCTCACCCCTTCCACTTATGCAAAGCTTCAGGAGCTGCCACATCCATGTCCTGCTGGAAGGAGAGGGAGAAGTAAAACACTGCAGAGACCTGAAAAAGCAAAGCTGCGAAGGAGAAAAGCCTCAGGCTGACTTTTTCCCATCCCTGCTGCTCTGGGTGAGAGAGGCTCTGCTCTCTGACCCCACACTGGTATAAATCAGCACCATCTCTGTGGCACTGATAGAGTTGTATCACTGCAGGGACACAGATACTTATCTGTGTGTTTCCACCTCAGGATATATTTCCCATTATGGTTTCTAAATGTTTGGAGAGGCAAGAGGATACATATGCACACACATCAGCATGTACCATTCCTCTGCATTTAGGCACTTTGAGGGCCTGTTCCTCCCCCTGAAAATTAAAAAAAATTAAAAATTAAATGAAATAAAGAAGAACAGACTAGACTAGACTAGACTAGAATAGAATAGACTAGAATAGAATAGACTAGAATGAAAGAATATAATAGAATAGACTAGAATAAAATAAAATAGAATAAAATAGAATAAAGTAGAATAAAGTAGAATAAAATAGAATACAATAGAAAA